GTCCACGATCAAAAATCGTCATATCGCACACCCCTAACTACCAAGTATAATCAATCTCACACACACAAACAAGCACAACGAAATCACGTCACACTATTAAGCGGCTGTGCTATGAACATGCAAAACTGTATCGCACCCGTGCTACAGTGGTAAATTTATTCATCGCACAGACCAGTTTTTTCGTAGCATGTGCGACATATATGTCGCACTGTACAGCCCTGCTTTATACAACGTGTGCCATTGTAAAGACTGCAAGTCTGTCCCTCACAGCCTCATTTTCATCCACGTTAAATTCAGTATGGCATCTAATCTAAATAAAGGTCTGTTGTCATTTTGGGTGAACTATCCCTTTAAGAAAGGACTGTATTTCATTCACATCTGTTGCTCTGGAGAAATTGTAAAGAATGCATTGGATTTATCTTATATAAGAAAGAGGAATACAATTGTTTTTTCATGGAAAAAGTACTTGATGAAATAAAATAAAAAATCTTATGTGATCACTGGAATTACCATTGTGAGTTTTAGGACATGGTTTCTAGGTTATGTTAGTTCACCTTCAGCTGAGGAAGAACAGGACAATTTTTGGCAGCACTGCTGTGCCAGTTTGCTGTAAATGGACAAGAAAGGGGACTCTTAGGGCAGTTACTTTGGGCAGTACTTGAGTTTTTTTTTTTTCTAAGTATGTTTAATACCCAAACTACTTCAGATGTTTTTCCCATTCACAGTGGGATTTCCTTTGTAACAAAATCCCAGCACTGACAAATGAATAAAAACTCAATAGCCTCAGTTAACATTAAATAAACTGTATAGCAATCGGTCGCCAAGTACAGTATATATATATTTGCAGTATCTAGACTTAAGGCCTGTAATATTGTAGCCATTAACTCCAGTTTATACCTGACACAGACGGAGGGCTGGCTTCAGTGAATCATTTATCATTTAAGACACAGCATCCTAAGGCACAAAACTTTCCTGTGGAGTCCTTTCACAGCAGACTAAAGGAAATGTGGTTCAGGCCAAACTTTACATAAGAGGGCTCATTAAAGTTTGACCTGTCCTAGCTATTTAACCTTATTGGCGCAAAAAAAAGCCCAAAATATTCCATCACCAATACAAAAATACCCTGGATATAAAAGGAAAATGTTAAATGCTTTAGAAAAAAATGTCTTGTTCTGAGTAATTCCTATCTGTGTGCCACATATCGTCATACCAAGAGAAATATTATACATAAATTTAAAATTGCACAGAACTTTAGCATAGATTCTAGCTATTACTCAAACATGGGAGAGTTTGTTGTTAGCATGTTGCTACACTAATCAGTATTCTAATTAGTATAATCAGTTTCAATCTTGAACAGTTCTCTCAACTTGTCATCTTAGTTTTATTGTTTTGAGCTTACTGCAGTGCATTTTGGGATTGCATTCTGCATTAGTTATGTTTGTAAAGCTGCTTCAGATTTGGCTTTACTTATCTTATAAGGCAGCATAATAAAGTAGCCTATTTTGAAACCACTTTTTTGCACCTATGATGCCTTCAAATTCTGCCACAGCATAGATTTTGGAACAGAGTAACTGAGGGCAGTGATGAATGCTGCATAATCAAGTAAATATGGACTGGCAGCTGGGCTAGGAAGGGCCCATCTGGAAGATCAGTCCTTATCTGTTAGACTTCAGGGCTTCTGAACATCTGACTAACTTTAGGCACAATATTTTGTCCTTCATTTCAATGGCACGCATAAACAAAAACAGCCATTTTTGGGTGATTTTATGTGTGATATTTATGTGACAATAACTTTTAATCAGCAGGCCAGCTGCAACACTTAAGCCAACATTAAATATAAAACTGCATAAATAAAGCCATAGTCTGTGATCAGTTTGAATACAAAGTAAAGAAATTGCTGTCTGTAATATTGCAGATGTTCTGTTAAAAATAAGATTAGAAATATATAGAATATTTCCTGCATTTTGCTGACTCCGTACACTTGAAGCCTCTGATGCACATATTTAACCATTCAGAAGGAGCTAGTTTCTCCTACATCGCTGCTATAGCTATATGTTAATTATTATGAAGCTGTGGTCAAGGACCATTCAAACCGAAATCCAGGAGCTTTGAGTGCTTTAAGTGTAACATTTAAAGTTGCCTTCCTATGGGAATCACAAGAGCCTGTTCAGTGTCATGTCACCTAATGAGAGGTCTACTGTGGCTGAGTGCTTTTGACTGTGGAGTATCTTTAACATTATCCCTTCTTCACTCACTCTGTAACCCTCTGTTCCTATCAAACTCTCACCAGCCTGCCACTGCAGGTCTCTCCAATTAACACTACTTACTACTAATTACATGTCCCACCATTAGTGCAGAATAGAACGGGCACCAGACCTGTAGATATCGCTTTAGTGAGGCAGTGTGTCTTGACAAGATTGGAGATTAAAAAGGAGTGGACAAGCGCTGTTGATAACTTTACTTTTTTGTGGTAGAGAACTGACCACCAGAATATAGGAGGTTGACATACAGTAACTATAAAAAAATTCATATATGTTCAGGAACCATCACATTCACTTATTACAAAACAATGACAAATCTGGCTGCACCCTCAGATTAGCAGCAGCAAAAATGTTCAGCCGTTGCAGATCAGAAGAGCCGCTAGTCTCCAATTACTGTCTTTCTCTTTCAGTAGCAGCCAATAATTAACTGCAGCAAAGAATTATACATATTTCTAATGAGATAAGGATTGCTTGGAAAAATCATAAGAGGAAGAGACTACATATGTTTGGGGTGAAACACAGCAGTCTACAAATATGAAATGAGGTTTGTTCTGACTTTTGCTTGAAAAAGTGCATCTGAATCTCTTAACGAGGGCTGTGTTGTCACCATAATAGAAATATATTTTTCTATGTATGTGTGTTTAAAAATACACATATATAGATTTATTATTTATTTATTTTTCTGCTGTCAATAAGTACTGTTTGCAAGTAATCAATTAAAATGGGGTTTCTGACATTTTTGATGTAAAGGACTCCCAAGTATGATGATTTACTTGCAAGAGACCAAGAGACTACCTAAAATATAAAAGTTCATGTTTGTTTGTCTAGTGGGGGAAAATAAATTATCTCATGCTATACCTTTTGTCACTCTAGCGCTGAATACCAGTGAGCATAACTGAATGTCTCATTCTGGAAAGATGCACAATCCACAGATTCACTCAGCAATAAAATTGTCTCACTAACAAAAAACTCTGCTAGGTATATGTTTATTATTTGCTGAGTAAAGAGATGCCATCTGTTAGGCCTACCTGTTCAGAATGAAAATTCCCTTTTGTTTATTTACTCTCTGGCTCGATTCTCACAAATTATCACTGTGCTCATGTCAGTCAAAGCAAAGACACTGTGGCCCATTGGGAAGTGATAAGAGCCTTATGCTAATGATAACAACCAAGATAATTAATAATGATAATAAATGACAAACCACATGCCCTGTGTACATAAAAACCCCAACCGAGAAACAAAGAGGGAGGGCAGAAAACAGAGCTAGCTTTAAAACCATTCAATGGCTTTAAACATAGCTTGTCCAATCACAATTTAAAGCTGTAAACCATTTAATAAATGGTGTGTCTGTAAAATTACAGGCAATTCAGCTCAAGCACATGTGAAGCCCTTGTGAACACTGTTTAGATAAGTGTTTTTGTCAGGCAGTGTTTTCTTTTACATTTGCAGTCAGGTGGAATTGAGTGACAGCAGAAAGCTTTTCTGCAAGGTGCACATGCACACGGAGCAGCTGGGACTATAGAGAGCCTCATGTGACCAGACGTATTACTCATGAATGCGTTCTGCTGATGTTGGCACAATATATATGGAACATAACAGGTTCTGGCCCCCTGTAACAGTGCTTGGATTCAAATGTTCAAACACCCACAATGCGTTCAGTTTCACATTATAAAGGTGTGGGAAACACCTTATGATAATATCTTTGATTAATAAGTCATCATTTGCAAACTGAGACCACAAGTGAAAATGCTTCTATTTCAAATGTTTTTATTTTTTTTTAAACCCTCTAAATAATAAACTCAAACTCAAATAGTTTCAGCATAATTTTAGCAGAAACGCTAATGCTGACTGCATATGTTTATGTAAAAACTGATGATCGTACAAATTAAAGAAAAAAAAAAAACTTTACAGGTTTAAATATAAGATTCTAAATGATAGATTTTCATTGTGGTCTCAGTCTTTTGGGCCCCACTGTATCATATCGTACCGTATCGTATCGTATCGTACCGTATAGTATAGTATACACAAAGAAAATGTATTTCCTTATATGATAATGCCCAATATATTAAATTATTTAAAATATACAGAATAATATATTCTGTCAATATATTACAATATTTTGAATAATACATAAGGAATTGCCGCTGTTCATATATTGAAATATTGAAACATATCTGACAATATATTTACTTATTTATTTTTGTATTTTATTTTATATATTGTAATGTTTGTAATTTGACATCCACATTGCTACATCGTCATATATATAAATATATATTTATTTATATATTTATATTTAGCAGTATATAGCCATTTTTCCATGCACATATTGCAGTATACTGAAAAATATAAGCACTAGTTTCCCATACATTATATATAATGCAATATAATATAATATTTATTATTATATGTATATTATTATATAATCATTTATTATTTTACTTTATTATTATATAATAAAGTTTACTATATATTATGATTATTTTAGACAAAAGGAAAATCTAAGTGTAAAATACAGCACGTCCCCTCGAATGTTCAGTAAAGTCGATGGTCGATCAATATGGGTTAAACTGTCAGATCCCCCCCGCCCCCCCCACACACAAATAAAGACAAACGTTACATACCTTTCTCAGCAGGCAGCAGATCCTCTCAATATTTCGCAGTCTTTCACGCTGTTAAGAGAAATAAATATCTGTTGAATTTCCCACAACACCTAAAATGCCAGTCTCAAGGAAAAAACTAGTACGAAGGCCACATCCTTCAGCTGCTAAAAAGCTGATATGATGCATCAAAAAAAGCAGGAGTAGGGGGAGTACATTTTAACTAGACTTAAAAGTGTATATACATTCATAGGTGTTTGTGGAACAGTGGTTATGGCTTTGGCATGCACTGCTGCTTAAGGCTCTAGTCTTCCCCAGCTCTTGGCCCGTGTTACCTTGCAGAATCAGAGCACTATACACTGGCAAGGACATCAAGGGACTTGCATTTAGAAATACAACTGCCAAGAGGTGGAAAAAACAGCAGGGAGATTGTTGAATGGCATGTAAAAATTGCATATGGTGATTACATCCAAACATGTACATTTTGGGGCCAGGAAAAGTAGCGGTACTCTCAAGGGACAATGTATTTTTATATATACAGTCCCAGATATAGTGTAGTCCGTGTTTTAATCACATGTGTGCAGTGGATTAAGTCTAATAAATCTAATTCAACAGAGATTTGAATGCAAATTCTGATGAGTCAAATCAGATTAGAGTTTTTTTTTTTTGCATCCTGAATTTACTTTCTCTGCATGCAATTTTTGTCATATATGCACTATAGAATAATTTTACATATTCGAGGCACAAAAAGCAGCAGAACTCAATAGGAGGCATGTATGGATGTTAAAGCACAAATAAATCTTAAATGAGTAACACAGAAGAAATATGGCTGCACTATATGGCTGCCTAACAGAGAACTGTTCATATGTCACGTGGCAGGAGGAGTGATGCTGTTTTTTAACATGCACAAGTCTAAACATACATATTTGACTGCTATTTTTTAAAATTCACATTAACTTCATTCAACTCAATACATTATTTACACTACTAGCCTGCACATGTAAATAATTAAATAATTTGTGCTGTTATTCACTAATCCACAGAACCACCCATAGTGACCACTACAACACTCCTACTCAGCAAGAAAAAAAAAAAACTTTAACATATATCCATACATGCCTCCTATTGAGTTCTGCTGCTTTTTGTGCCTCGAATATGAAAAATTATTCCATAGTGCATATATGACAAAAATTGCATGCAGAGAAAGTGATTTCAGGATGCAAAAAAAACAAAAAACAAACTCTAACCTGATTTGACTCAAGAATACTCTCTTCACCAGAAATGGCCTTTAATTTAAGTCAGTTTGTTTAATATAATATCATTTTTCATTTATGATATAATAATTATTTTATTATATTACATGAAAATAATTTATACATTTGATTAATATATTTAAACAGTTTTTACTACAATTATCTTGCAGTATATTTATCAAAGATACAAATAATCCCACTAGCAAAAAGGTGGCATTACGCTTGTTTGCTGAATTTGTGAAATATAATTGATATGCATCTTATTTTCCCAAAGTTTCCTCAGTGTATTTTTAAACAGTTTTTTCAAGGCTTTGATTGACAACCTCCCACTCTCTTGTTCCAGCACACAGCTGTGTTTCAGAGATTACACCAAACATCCATGAAAGTTACACTCAACTCCCTCATTATTTTTGGGCCGCACCTCATTTTAGTTCATCCAAATTTGCTTAAGACATTTTTTCACACCATTCTCAACCTCCTCAACAACAGCATGCACATATATTCCACTGGCAGTCATAGCGACTGGAGATAACTGCAGCAATATCAGCACTTTTAATTAGCAGGCAATTAGACTCAGCTCCCTTTGAAATATTCGTCAGCACAAATTCTGCTTGACAAGTGCTGGCATACATTGTAAACAATATATTACATATAGGACAAAGAGTCAATACAACAGCCAGAATATTATGTTCTTGAGCTATGGAATCTGCAACATACATATGGGTAGTCCTTGACAGAAATACTAACGCAAACACATGCAGCAAAACTGAGTCTATCATCTCTCTAGAGCAAATAATATTCAGCATATCATCTAACGATGGCATGAAAAGAGCATCAACAGATCTGATGAAAGCTAAACCTCTGAACAAGCTAACTATTTTGGTCACTTTAGACACTTGCCAAAATAGGCAGATGCCAACAATGGATATGTTGTTTGGCATCCCCTCATACCATGAACAAAGCATATAATGTAAAAAAAAAAAAAAAATTAATA